CCCCAAAACCCCAAAACCCCAAAACCCCATAATGTCATTATTGCGTTGAACTAATCAATATGGGGGAGATAAACAAGCCAAGAACAACTGTCCAAGTTAGAAGTAAAGTTAGCTCTAAAAAGACAAAGAGAAACAATTTTGAATGGGAATAGCAGAGATAAGAGTGTCGGATAGACAGTTATACTAGCAAATGATGGACTCTTGGTAATTGGTCGTAGGTGCTCATCTTTGAGTAGCATTTTAGTACCAAGCAGATTGAACTTGCGATTCTTTGTCTGTACTTTGTGTTTGTGAAGGGGACGTAGTCTTCGATGAAGTTCTGAAATACAAAGTAAAATAATCTTGCAGCAAGTTTATCTGACATAAATATTTTCTTGGTGATGCTATTGAAGTTTTCAATCGCTTCAAAAGGAGACGACTCTCCTTCATTATCTAAGTTTTTGAATAGGCGGTATCCAGTGGTCTTGTGAGTCTGATGAAGGAACACAAAGAGAGCCATATTATCAAAGTACTCTCTTTCAATTGGAATCCCAAGCTCCTCAAATAAGATTTCCATTCACCTGGTGGCGCCTTTCTGATCTTTGTAATCAAGATAGTGAAACCTCATTCTGAAGAGTATTCTGTAAAACTCTCTGACATCTCTGACGACTTTCTTCCAGATGGTGTCTGATCTGGACTTGTCTCTCTTGTTTCTGTCAGTTTTTATCGACTTCATGGTCAGATACTTTCTCCATCTGGGAATAACATGGTTATGGATGAGTTCAAACAAGTTGGTGTAGTCAAACACAATTTTTTTCTTACGTCCTTTTCTGCTTTTTCTATCAAATGTAAGAACCATGCAAGCCATGTGAAGATAAGAAAACGTACATCTTTCCATTGGTCTTGACGTCTGTGTTCTTGTTGCAATGGATATGCAAATGCTCGCTCAAGTTCTTCATATCCAAAGTCTATTCAATTATTAGTGTCGGTGAATTTAGCAAGAAGTGGTACTCATATTCGTAACTTACTTCAAATGGGATGAATTCGGGATCTCTGGGGTAGGACTGATGCTCAGCAGATGATGCCTTTGAAGTGCCTAAAACATCATTCGTATTTTGGAGTTAGCAATATTATTAGGGTCGCATCCTTGGGAAATTAAAATTTAAACATAGGTAGTAAAAATAAAAAGTTTAAAATCCGTCTGGTTATATAATATATGGGCTTTGGAGCCATCTCAGTTTTATTTCTTGCTTAATATTTCACAGAGGTCAATTTTTTAAAGTTTTAATACGATGTAGAGAAGATTTAAGCTAAATATAGAAATAAAATTTAGAGCTAGAACTTCGTCTTTCCATATAAGTACTTCAAAAGTTCTTCCTCCTTTTTGTCATCATATCGAAATCTCATGAAATATCTGCAAGCAAATAAAAGATGATGAAGTCAGACTTATCTCTTGAGTGAATGTATTAGAGACTATTCCCAACATATTTATGTGTATCAGTGAAATAACAAGTGACTTAAAACTAAATCTTCACCTACTTCTGTGATAATGGTAGGTTTAAATATTTTATTCAAATTACTGATTCACCAACTTATGTAATTTATTGGAATGATCAGAAAGAACTCACAATCAATCCTTATACTATTTTAAGAAGAAAGATCGAAATAGAGGATTCTGAATTAGTTAGCCTTAATATTTAATGAAATAATATTTCATATTTCAACAAGCTTCATTTCAGCTGATACTTCATTCCCACAAATCCAAATTATTCGATAATTCATCCTTGTTGAGCTTGAAATATAGTGATAAATTCTCAATCAAACTAAGCGGGATAAATGTAGAGATAGTCTTCAGGGAGAATGGCGAAGTCTAACACTCTTTAATGTTGGCTTATCCTACTCATAAATTAAGAAATATTCATAAACTACTAATATTGTCAAAAAGAGTTGACTGCTTTTTCAAATCGAGTAAATCGTCATAAAATGTTCCTTGCTCCCTTTCAAATTCATAAAACCTCAAGCTGATAATTTTGGAAGCTCCGATCATTGGCTAGTTATTTAAGAGGCCATGCTTATATTTTAAGGACAAATATTTAAACCTTCATATTGCATTTAAGGTAAGGCAGAAGGCAACTTAGCAAAGTCATATAATTCAATCAGACCAGCGATAAGAAATACATTTTAGGTAGGACTGAAAGATGCTAATGAGAGCTTACCTTGTAGATTTGCTGTCAAAACTTGAGTATTCTGATGATTCAGAATTTGGCTCATGTTATTCAGAGATTTTGATGTTTCCTATATGTAAGTTATGGGTCGAAGCGAATGAGTACACAATAAGATACTTTCTTGTTAAATGATGAGTACCATCATAAAGCTTTAAGAGTACTACTTTATAGAGAAATTGGGCCACAATTCGATGAACAGGAGAGTCTAGATCATGAAAAATTAATTTGATGCTAAGCATTAAAGTACTTGAAGATGAGATAATGTCCATATTAATAGTTGACAATTATGTGAAATAAGAACTCTTTGTAATAATAAACAGATGAGAATGGAAAGCCATTCAGGTTCTTAAAGTACTCGCTCTGAATACTTGACGGATGGTTCCTTAAGTATAAAGCATGAATCATATTTGAAGTCTTATTGCAAACAATGCTGAAATTTCATCCATTCACAGACTTCTGAGACGAAAGAAGCTCTCATGAATGGAAGGTTGACCAGAGTTGCAGGACTTACTGTTTGGGGCGTAATTCACGTTCCCCAGAATTGTGGCTCTTGGGGTTTGATTAAAGGCATAGCTTGACCCACCAATGGAAGCTTCACTAACACTCTACTTGAGTGATAAGGGTTTTTGGAATTTTTATTGGGCTTTCTAAAAATCATATTTATGATTAAATTATTCATAAAATTTATAAATGCTACCTGACCAAAGTTTTACTAGTTTTAAAATATTCTCTAAAGATCCGAAGGAAGACTTCTATTCATCTGAACACTTTTGCAAATGATTTCAGCATGCTCGGACGATCATTGAAGTAATTGGATTTCAAAACTAATCATATCGAGGAAGTTCTAAAATGGTCGGAAATTTTGAATAGTAGCCAAACCATGGCTCTAAAATAGGCTCTTCAGACTCCAAGAATATTTCTAAAATTTGAAAGTGTTTAAATAACCAAGATTACAACACTCTTCAAATTTCAGCATAATCAAATTGGAGAAAATGGCTTCGAAGCTCCCTCTCTCGAGTGGTATGATTGGGTAAAGTTATATTAAGTAGAGTGATTTTTAAACCCTAAGCTTCATCCTGAGCCTCATCTCATAGCTCAAGTTGAGAGGTGTTTATTGTGCCATCAAATCTTTCTTTTTAATTCTATTCTCAAGGCCTCAAATTTCTGTAATATTCTGAAATTCTGAAAAGCTAAAATATGAAATTTATCTAAATACTATGTTATAAATGTTTTGAGGCAATAGGTGAATGTAGCCAAATTTCAATTGAAAATGATTCATAAATGAGTAAGAAGTTTTACTCACAAGTCTTTACCTCAAACTAATGATTAAGCTCATTGCAAGTTCTTTCTTGGACTTTTCTTAAAATCGTTATTTGGCACATCTCTAGTTTCAATTTCTTCGTTCATCCTCCTTCAATGGGATCCTATTTTTGTACGAATTTAGGAAATTACCAAAGTAAGGTTATCTATTGGCTAGGACAGATCCTCAACTGTTATTCTTAGCATTTAAGTCTGTTTTCCTCACTCATACTTCAAAATATTGACTTGAAATCGCCTGCTGAAACAGTTAAATTGCTGGAAATGATTTTAAATGCCAAAATTTAGCACTCAGAGCTGAAGATAATTTCCCCCAAAATATTTCTCTATAATTGTGTTTAAGGGATGAGTATAGAGGAATTGGATAACTGCTTCTCTATTATTAATGCTTAGTATATGTGTAACCAATGATTAACTATGTCAAATACTTTACAGTTAAATCTCTGGCATGATACAACACAAATATGAGTGGTATATTAAAATTATGGTAAAGCTTGTCGAAGAGTTGGTAAAAATTAGTCCTGAGCTGAGCAGAGTTTTTACACAGTGAATAACAGCTATACCATCAGCCCCACATTTATCATAAACTCTTCTGATCTTCATGTTCGAAATTAGAGGAAGGTATTTGGTAAAATTGATCATTAATTGCCTCACGACAGAGATTAGTAGTGGAGGAGGAATTGTTTAATTCCTCTATAGTAATATTTCAGAAAGATTAAGAGACCTTCCTATATCTTGTTCATCTGAGGATAAATGAAAGACTTATGAAAATACTACTTTTTTCTTCCAACTGAGATTTATGAATCCATCTAAAAGGGTCATATTTTTATGTAAACTCTTATCAAGTCTTAAGCCTCAATTTTTACGAAGTTTTCGAACAAAATGTGCTGAAATATTTTATAAAAGAATGAGATAAATAACTATTTTTAGCGAGCTCAAACCTTGACAAATCATAATTTGCGGAGTATTTCTAGATTATTATTTTACCTTGGCTTAATCTGAGAAATCTCATAAAATTATTAATAAATTCAAAGTTTAAGATGCTCTTGGCCTCTAATATTTCAAGAAAGCTATCTCCTACTATTTATCGATGAGGAGGTACTTTTCGCTAGATTTTGGTATTTTTAAAATTTTTCATATGAAAATTATGAGTAAATTGAACTGCCAAAGTACTAAATGAGCTATATCAATTAAAAAGACTTCCTAATAGCTTAAGAAAGCCTGAAACAATATTTGCAAAGATCTCAAGAAATTGGGGAAATAATAATATCAACTGATACTTCCCATGCCGATTAGGGTTTGCATATTATGAAATTATTAATCTCGACAATAATAAGAACTTCAAAAACTTATGGAACTGAAAAGGCTTTCTCAGATTGATTAATAATAAAGAGTGTCGATTTCATAGACATTCTTCTGATGTTTCAGCCAGCCTTAACTTATTGGCCTTCTGAGAGGCTTCTCAAGATTCTTCTGAATAAGTTTAGTTAATATTGAGATAAACTGATTGCAATAGGTCCTTTCTGAGAACGATAATTATTGCCACTAAAATCATCTTCTTTGTTATTCCTTGATTGTGCTTGAGTTTTAATGATTAAGAGACACTATTTCTTCATTGAAGGCTTTGGATATACAAAAAGAAGAGCGTCTCAGATTTAAATTCATTTGTATGTAATCATTACCAAACACATCACTCTCTTCACTAACACCTTTAACCTCTCCAACCCCCTATCTAACCCTCCCTCTTCACCTCTAAACCTCTCTCCCTCCTCATAACACCCCCCTCTACCCCTCCTTCCTCCCCATATTTCCAATATTCAATACAAATCCCTTCCTGCGGGGTTTTGGGGTTTTGGGGTTTTGGGGTTTTGGGG